ACAATAACTTTAGTTAACACATCCATCACCTCACATAGTCACCATTTGTGTGTGTGTGTGTGTGTGTGTATGTGTGTGTGGTGAGAACTTTTAAGATTTACTTTCTTAGCAACTTTGAAGTATACAGTACAGTATTGTTAACTGTAGTCACCATGCTGTACATTACATCCCCAGGACTTATTCATCTTATAACCGGAAGTTAGTATCCTTTGACCACCTTCATCCATTTCCCCCACCACTCACCCTCCCCCTGCCCCTGGCAACCACCAGTCTACTTTCTGTTCTTATGAGTTCAGTTTTTTTAGATTCCACATATAAATGAGATCATATAGTACTTGTGTTTCTCTGACTTATTTCACTCAGCATAATGCCTTCAAGGTCCATCCGTGTTGTTGCAAATGGCAGGATTTTCTTTCTTTTTTTTTGTGGCTGAATAATATTCCATTGTACATATATACCATATCTTTATCCATTCATCCATCAGTAGACACTTAGATTGTTTCCGTGTCTTGGCTATTGTAAGTCTTGCTGCAATGAACAAGAGAGTGCAGATATCTCTTTGAGATAGTGATTTCGTCTCCTCCACATAAATACCCAGAAGTAGAATTGCTGGATCATATGGTATTTCTATTTTTAATTTTTTGAGGAACCTCTGTACTGTTTTTCATAGTGGCTGCACCAGTTTACATTCCCACCAACAGTGTACAAGTGTTCCTTTTTCTCTGCATCCTCACCAACACTTATTATCTTTTGTCTTTTTGATAATAGCCATTCTCACAGGTGTGAGGTGATATCTCATTGTGGTTTTGATTTTCATTTCCCTGATGATTAGTGACGTTGAGCACCTTTTCATGTATCTGTTGACCATGTGTATGTGTTCTTTGGAAAAATGTCTATTCAGATCCTCTCCTCTTTTGTAAATCAGATTGTTTTTTTGCAATTGAGTTTTATGAGTTCTTTATATATTTTGGATATTAACTTCTTATCAGATATGCGATTTGCAAATATTTTCTCCCATTTGATAGGTTACCTTTTCATTTTGTGGATGGTTTCTTCTGCTATGCAGAAGCTTTTTAGCTTGATGTAGTCCCACTTGTTTATTTTTGCTTTTGTTGCCTTTGCTTTGATGTTAAATCCAAAAAATCATCGCCAAGACCGATGTCAAGGAGCTGACTGCCTATGTTTTCTCTAGGAGTTTTATGGTTTCAGGTCTTAATGTTCACCTCTTTAATCCATTTTGAGTTGATTTTTGTATATAGTATAAGATAATGGTCCAGTTTCATTCTTTTGCACGTAGTTGTCCAGTTTTCCCAACACCATTTATAGAAGAGACTGTCCTTTCCTGATTGTAGATTCTTGGCTCTTTTGTCATAGATTAATTGACTGTAAATGCATGGGTTTATTTCTGCGTCCTCTATTCTATTCCATTGATCTATGTGTCTGTTTTTATGCCAATACCATACTGTTTTGATTACTTTAGCTTTGTAATATAGTTTGAAATCAGGAAGCATTATGCCTCCAGCTTTGTTCTTCTTTCTCAAGATTGCTTTGGCTATTCAAGGTCTATCGTATTTCCATACAAATTTTAGGATTGTTTGTTCTATTTCTGTGAAAAATGCCATTGGAATTTTAATAGGGATTGCATCAAATCTATAGATTGCTTTGGGTAATACGGATATTTTAGTAATATTAATTCTTCAATCCATGCGCATGGAATATCTTTCCATTTATTTGTGTCTTCTTCAATTTCTTTCATCATTGTCTTATAGTTTTCAGTGTACAGGTCTTTCACTCCTTGGTTAAATTTGTTCCTAGGTCTTTTATTCTTTTTGATGTGCTTGTAAATGGGATTATTTTCTTAATTTCTCTTTCCAATAGTTTGTTATTAGTTTACAGAAATACAACAGATTTTTTTTTTTTTTTTGTGAGCAAGATTAGCCTTGAGCTAACGTCCAATGCCAATCCTCCTCTTTTTGCTGAGGAAGATTGGCCCTGGGCTAACATCTGTGCCCATCTTCCTGTACTTTATATGGGATGCCACCACAGCATGGCTTAACAAGCGGTGCGTCAGTGCACGCCCAGGATCCAAACCTCCGAACCCTGGGCTGCCGAAGCGGAGAGTGCACAGTTAACCGCTACACCACTGGGCCGGCCCCTACAACAGATTTTTGTATGCTGATTTTGTATCCTGCAACTTTACTGAATTGGTTTATTAGTTCTAACAGTTTTTTGGTGGAGTCTTTAGGGTTTTCTAAATATAATATCATGTCATCTGCAAATAGTGACAGTTTTACTTCTTCCTTTCTGATTTGGATGCCTTTTATTTCTTTTTCTCGCCTAATTGCTGGGGCTAGGACTTCCAATACTATGTTGAATAAAAGTAGTGAGAGTGGGCATCCTTGTCTTGTTCCTAATCTTAGAGGGAAAACTTTAGCTTTACACTGTTGAGCATAATGTTAGCTGTGGGCTTGTCATATATGGCCTTTATTATGTTGAGGTATGTTCCCTCTATACCCACTTTGTTGAGTGTATAATCCAGTGACATTCATGCATTCATGTAAAATCAGACATGTTTATGCATAGAAAAGTAAATAAAATTATGACTTAACAGTAATGAAGTACTATCTTCTGCTATAAAACAACAAAATTGGGGCCCAAAGGACAGTCAAAAGAAAATATATGAGATTTGAAGATGACTTGGATATGTTGATTTTCAGAGGTATAGGTACTTATGAGAAGCTTTTCTTGATGATTGGAAGGGGTTTTAAACTGATTTTGTGATTACTTGCTTATGGCTTGAGTCTATGGGCAAAGAATAACCAGTCTTTCCCTTTTGTGAATTTGGGGATTAAGACCTTTTTATTCTTATATTACTACCTTCCTACGTTTGTGTTTGTCTATCTGACACAATTTTCTTTCTCCCTGGAGAACTCTCTTTAGCATTTCCTATAGTTTGGGTCTGCCGATGATTTCTCTTAGTTTTTATTTTCCTTTTTTTTGTTTAAATGATGTTTTAGCTGTGTTGCATAGATAGAATTCTAATTTGGCAGCAGTTTTCTTTCAGTACTTTACATGGTCTAATCTGATGTTAAACATGCACTGAATTCTTAATTTCAATTATTGTTTTTCTCAGTTCTAGAATTTATTAACTTTTAGAGTTTCTAGTTCTCTGCTGAAATTCTCCGTCTTGTCATTTAATAACCTTAAAATTTTATTTTATTTTTTAATTTATTTATTCTTGTGAGGAAGATGAGCTAACATCTGCCAATCCTCCTCTTTTTTTTTTTTTTGCTGAGGAAGATTGGCCTTGGGCTAACATCCATGCCCATCTTCCTCTACTTTATATGGGATGCTGCCACAGCATGGCTTGCCAAGCGGTGCATCGGTGTGCGCCTGGGATCTGAACCAGGGAACCCCGGGCCCCTGCAGCGGAGCGCACGCACTTAACTGCTTGCGCCACCAGGCCGGCCCCAACCTTAAAATTTTAATCACAGTTAATTTTAAAGTCTATGTCTGATAATTGGATAATATCTGCTTTTCCTATAGGTCTTTTGTTATTGTCTGTATTTTGTTGGTTTTTATTTGGTTTTGAGTCAATTCTTTTCGTATTCCTGACTGTTTCTGATTGATATTAGACATTGTGTGAGAGAAATTCTAGAGATAATTTGAGACTCTGAATGGTGCTATATTTCACAGGAATGGTTTTACTTTTTCTTCTGGCAAGTCATTTAGGGGGCACATCATTGTAATCCAAACAGGGACTGAGCTGAAGTGAAGTATGGCTTCAGGCTTTGTGAGGGCTGGTCTATTTCTGCTCCACTCATTTCTAAGATGTAGCTCTCAGGGGTTCAGGAGTCCCAAGTGAAAATCTGGTGTGTTTACCAGGGCCTCTACTCCTTAGCAGATTTTGAACTTCAATTTTATCCCCCCAGTAGGGTGACCAGATATTCCAGTTTGCCATGAGAGATATTGAAAATCCATCCTCCCAAACCCATGGGAGACATTAAAAACCCATCAAAGCACTTTCACTCACTGTGTTGTATGTTACTTAAGAATCCTTCCCAATGAAGTGTTCCAGGCAACCCTGATCCATTGACTGGCACTGTTGTTCAACATAAAACTACTTTAGATGGGAAAACACAGTCTTAATTATCTATAGCAGCAGTAATATAGTTATAGATAAAATGGCAATACTTACCCATAAGAATATAGAGTGGGCAGAGAAAAAAATGAAGTAGTAAATGGTTTAAAATAAATGAGAAGTTCAAAATAATGAATGATAGTGAAATTAACAGATCATTTTAAATACTCCTAAGATATCAAAGTTTACTGATGAAGGCAGTGAAAATATTTTCATCAAGGACAAGAAAAAGTTTGCTTTTTAATTATTTCTCTTTATATATCTCTGAGATGGGAGCATTTTCATTTCTTATTTTGCAAATGAGATAGGACAAAGGTATAGAGAGGGTATTTTGCCGTGATCTTACAGTGATCAGTCAAAGATTAGGATCCATATTCGATCTTGCTCAGACTAAAACTATAAACTTCATGAAAACCTGAACAATGACCTAAAAAGTGGCCCAAGTACTATATCTGTTGTCATTTCTGTTATTTCCCATCCTATAATTGTGAAGAAGCTGTTTATTGTCATTGCCTGCTTAACAGAATGACAAAGTGAATTAATGCCTTTTACAGAAAACTGTAGTTCATAGTTTCTAGGGTTTAATGCATTTGGTTCTCAGCTGAGAAGACAAGAAACTTAGAGTATAGACTCTCATCGAAGAAACAGTCAATCAGTCAGAAAAGCACCAATTATACAGTGTTTATTCACTAAACATTTATTTAGGAACTACTCTTTGCAAGATCCTCTGCTAGGCAAGCTATAGGATAATAAAAAGATGAAAAAAGATATGCCCCTCCCCTTAGTATTTTATAATTTATTATTGAAACAGTAGACTTACAAATACTTCTAAAAGTTAATGCTTTTCTCACTTTTCTAGGTATCTCTAAAATTCTTCCAAGCTTGATTAGTTCTCTTGAATTCTGTTCTTTCAAGTTGGAAAGCCTCCTGGAGTTTCCTGAAATGTTTCTTGAAGAATGGGAGGGACTTAATGGAAAAATTAATGAAATGAAATCTCAGTTGGATGCACTGTTAAACATTATTGGTACTGTTCCACAGTACCTAGACATGGATTCTGGCTCGTAAGTTCCCATAGCTCTCTGCTGGGCAGAAGAAGGGAATCCCCACTTCTCAACTGCATTTTCCCAGTACCTAGACTCAGCAACAGGTAGCTGGGGTCAGATAAGAAACCTTGCCATCTTGTTCCTTTCAGGAAGAAAGCCATCTGACTGGGAGCTGGAGGGTGAGGGAGCCCTGTGTTCTTGACTGCACCAGTCTAGAGTGGAGTTTCTGCCTCACTGAGCTGAGGGGGGAGAGAGGGAGTAGTCTTGGTTCAAATACCACAGACTCTTGCCATTCTGACTGAATCTTCATAGATTGTCTTGAATAGATGTTTCTTCAGTTGCTGTTTGTCTTTAGGACCATTTCCAGAGGCTTTCAGTGTTTTAAAAAAAAATAATTTCCACCAGTTTCACTGGGGAGTAGGTCAGCTTTGCTCCTCACACTATCATGTTGGAAGGTGATTGCTTGAGAGAACTTTAAAATTCCTTCTCCTCACTCTGTGGTCTCACTGGTCTAGAAGTGAAAGTAAAGGGTGTGAGTTTTTATAGTAGAGAGCTGACACTGAAGGTAAGATCTATGTTGTGCAAAGTGCATGCATGCCAGTTGCTACCTACCTGGGGTTAGGAAGGCTATGTCAGTGGGGAAGCCATTATACCAGATAATTCAAGGCTTTGATTCACCTTTTCCTGAGTTCTCAAACAATTGTCAACACCTAAATTTACTAGGCCCAGCCAAATAAAACCCTTTCTTTTAGCCAATAGTTACTTTTATACTCTAAGTAAGTGACTTATCTTTATTTTACTTGATTTTTCCTTCAGGGTCCTTCAAGCACGTATATATAACATGATTCAACAATGGCTTTTGAAGATAGGCAATGAGATTAACAATGGTAACATTGAACTTCAGCGCCACGTATGTACTTGTAGGGATTTGTGAGGTATATTTTGCCTTGGCTGGGAAAAACCATGCCTATCTAATTAAAGCAGGAGGTTGGGAGGGCAAAATGGGAACTTACATAATTACTCAAATGATTTTCAATGGATTTTAAAGATTTTATTTATTTATTTTTTTCCCCCTAAAGCCCCAGTAGATAGTTGTATGTCATAGCTGCACATCCTTCTAGTTGCAGTATGTGGGACGCGGCCTCAGCATGGCCAGAGAAGCGGTGCGTCCATGCACGCCTGGGATCCGAACCCAGGCCGCCAGTAGCGGAGCACGCGCACTTAACCGCTAAGACACGGGGCCAGCCCTTACCTTCAGTTTTATTTTGTTTTGTTTTTTCCTTTATGCCCTTACTCCATCTAATCTGTGCTGCTTGGCGGTCTAAAACAGTGATCTTCAAACATTTTTTATCATGTACCTCTATCAGCAAAAATATCTTTGAGCAAGTCATTTCTAACCAACATGCGAGAATTACTCTATTGACCTGTTTCATACATTATAAAACATATAAAAACAGTCAAAAGGAGTGAAATAAGTAATATTTTAAAATAATTTTTAGTAATGGTTAAAAAAAGGGGTGTGATTGAACAGGCTTTGTAATTTCTTATAAATGCAGATTAACAGTGATAAAGCCATTTGAAAGTCTGTTTCTAAGTTCAGTTTATTTCACTACTTGTTTTTAGGGACTGTCATTGCTGAAATGATAGCTCACAAAGAAACAGGAATCCAAGTTGAAGAAGTGCATTATTGGCTGTATTTATTAAATAATAATACTTATTTTTCAATTTCATCCATCAATTATGCAAAAATTTCTATTAAATTGAATAGTAGAATTTTCCATCTACCATAACGTCAATCAGTTGTTCTTGCAAACATTGGATCATGTTATAAACCAATGTGACCTCAATAAAATAAAAAAATAAGAAAATAAAAAACAAAAAATCCACCAAACAAAAATTAGACAATGTAGCATTTTGATATTTTAACAAATGATTCCCAGCCAATTGAAACACTTTATTTATAAGATTTTAAAACAATTAGACACTTATTTCCAGATTTTCAAATATATAAATTTGAGAGTTTTAAAAAGTGACCTATGTATCATTTTCAGCAACAAAATCATACCACGATGGAAATCTTGCCAACTGTCCATTTTCAAAATGACCTCTCCATAACATAACTTTCTTTTACTCATTGTTAAACATCACTTATATTTTGAAGGGACAAATTAAATGCAATTAAATAACACATCGGCTAGGAGGTGGCTAAGTAGCTACTTGTCATCTCTGAAAAGATTAGTAAATTTGGAACAAGTCTTTTCATAAAAGCAAATCACTTAATTCATCTTAAAATTTCTCTTAAGAAATTTTGTATCAGAATCACAGTAAATCTCTGGTTTATTATAAAAAATTAACATATTCACTCTCCATCTAATTACAAACAATGACTTCATATCTTTGTAAAAGTAAAAGATATTTTGTTTTTAATTCGATCCTAATTTTAAATTCACCTATGACCTATTGCATCACCTTGATTCTACCATTTAATCTTTCTAATGTAACTTGGAAATGAAGATGATAATCCATATTTCTGTTTATTTTATAGGGATGGTCCAAGGATTGATTAATATTTTATGTAAGCAAAAATGAGTTCTGTAAATGACAGTGTGATCCAGGCCATTGGTACATGAAAGAACAGTTAGGAATTTATTTACTTTAGTTGAGAAGCAGCAGGGGCATAGCTAGTGGAATGTATGGGGGAAATATCTTTGACTTGTGAAAGAGAACCACAGTCTTTTTTAACCAATACTCTGGAAGATTGCTGTTTTCCTGATGTGTTAATTCAGATGTAAAATTCCCTAATCAACATTGCTTTAGGTCATTAACAACATTTCCTTCTGAGGCGGGAGGCTTGGGTTTTAGTACTCAGATAGGCTACCAAGTTTGATTTTTGTTCATTCAACATTTATTAAGCCCTTACTCCATGCTAAGTACTATGTGTGGTTTTGAGGGATAAAGTGATGGCCCACACCTTAAAGAGACTCACAGTCTAATTGAGGAGACAGATATGCAAATGATTATAATAGAGATATGTACAAAGTACTATAGAAATACAGGAAAAGGAGCAAATTAAAGCCAGTGGGAGTTGAAAAGTCTTCTCAGAATAGATCATGTTTAAGCCTAGAAGAATACTTAGGAATTCACCAAACAGAGAAAGATGGGAGGGCATTTGAGAGTATGGTGTGTTTGACGTTTGCATTTTATAACATTTTCTGTGTTTTATTTCTGGGACCAGCCTCAGCAAACACCCTAATGCAGAGGTTCCCAAACTTTCCCTGTTCACAGTGCCCTTTGTGCCCCAGTATTTTCATACTCCTAAGCCAAAAGAAATACCTCACAGTTCAGTTTATTAAGTAGGTAAGTTCAAACAACTTACTAAATATTTATGTCCTAACAACTTAGTGACTGTTTGGAAAAGTAATACAAGTTACAATAGTTAACAAGGAAGCCGTTAGACTGCGGGACCATTTGTGCCTTTGGTGACCTATGTAAACAAACTAAAGCCAGAGTCAGTGCACTTGAATCTAAGAAAATGAAACTCAAGAACAACTAGTCATAAACAGTCAACTAGATTTTCTCAAATATGAAAAAATAAAACTCAAGAACAACTATAACAACAGCCAAATAACTAAATTTTCTCAAATAAAGGGAACATTGAAGTTACAGTCAATTAAATAATTCCTTTTCTTTTTTTTTCTTTTTTTTTTTTTATGAGGAAGATCAGCCCTGAGCTAACATTTGTGCTAATCCTCCCCTTTTTGCTGAGGAAGACCAGCTCTGAGCTAACATCTATTGCCAATCCTCATCCTTTTTTTTTTTTTCCCCCCAAAGCCCCAGTAGATAGTTGTATGTCATAGCTGCACATCCTTATAGTTGCTGTATGTGGGACACGGCCTCAGCGTGGCTAGAGAAGCGGTGCGTCTGTGCGCTCCCGGGATCTGAACCCGGGCCGCCAGTAGCGGAGCGCGCACTTAACCGCTAAACCACGGGGCCGGCCCAATAACTCCTTTTCTTTGCTTCAGAGTCTTCCCTATAAAAATCTCTGTCCTAGCCCCAGACTGCAGAGCGCCCCTAACCATTTTTCAGTTTTGGCTCTGCCAGATTGGAATGTCGTTTGCTCAAATAAACTTTGTAAAATTTAATGTCTCAGTTTAATTTTTTACATACACAGACATTGAAAGAAAAAAACCTTTTATTTTATTCTCATTTAATCAAAATTACTTACTAATGGAATGTATATACTTGGGCCCTGTACATCTTCTCTAACCGTGGAAACAGATTCGACGTTGCCGCCCTCATTTCCTTTTCCACCTTGATTTTCACACAGTACTTGTTTTTACCACACAACCATGGATAAAACCAGCTTCACAAAGATCTGATGGCATCAAAAGTGATACAGTATATCTAATGCTGAAATTGCGAACTATGTCAAGTTCATGCTGAGTCTGACAGGTGTCACACATCACTGTTATTTCCCTCAAGAATTTAAAATCCGTGGCGTCCTTGAGAGTTAGGAGCCTTGGGATGCCTTGGTGCACAATATGGGAACTGTCGCTTGAATGAGTTAATACCCTTGATCAAGCTAAAGAAGAGAAGGGGGTAGTTTAATGTAATATAGTGAGCAAAAGAAAATAAGGTTACACTAGCTGAGCAGTGATGATTTGATTTCATTATGAGTGATAGTGTTGAAAATTGGACACAGGTATGATAATTTCTGTTTTTAAATTTGGTATGGTTTTTACTGTTTGATTTATTTAAAATGGGTCATTTGTATTATAATCATTTTTTAACAGATGGATGAATTACATATATCTATGATCCAGTGGATGGTAAATTTGCTGATTTTAATGGTACCTGACCTTACTGACCAAGACACCCTCCCAAAGTTGGAGGAGGAAAGTGCTGACAAACATGATATAGGAGTTGCAAAGTTAGAGCTAGAGGCGACTGTACTGGCAAGGAAGTTGTCCCAATACTCCAGCTATTTGAACAGGTGAAACTATCTGGTTATTTTATGACTGCCCTTTTGAACATTAAATGTGACATAAGGCAGAGGAGAGAAGGGCAGTTAAGTAGCTGCAATAAGAGATTGTTTTAAAACCTTGGAAAAAATACTAGTTCAATTTTTAAACTGGCTTCAACACTGCCCAGTTGGAATATGAGATTTTGGTGTTTTCTTGATGGCTTTAGAATTCTTTTGAAAACAATGTTAGCATAGACAAGATGGGAAGTGTGTACAGATGTGGGAGTGAGCTTTGTAAAAAACAAAAAGACCCACTTACTTGCATAAATTAGGTACATCTTGTGCTTTTGCACATACTGGGGAGCATTTATGAAGAAGCTTATAGTTTCCTGTATAATTCCATGCAAAGCTGAATGTATACTTTTATGTTTCACTAAATACCAACCAAAACATCCCTTAAAAAAAAAAAGAGGGGCCGGCTCGGTGGCACAAGTGGTTAAGTGTGCACGCTCCACTTTGGCGGCCCAGAGTTCGTGGGTTCGGATCCCAGGCGCGCACAGACACACCACTTGGTAAGCCATGCTGTGGCGGTGTCCAATATAAAGTAGAGGAAGATGGGTATGGATGTTAGCTCAGGGCCACTCTTCCTCAAGAAAAAAGGAGAGGATTGGCATCGGATGTTAGCTCAGGGCTAGTCCTCCTCACACAAAAAAAGAGAAAACCCTTTTATCTGAAAAGCTAGAAGATTCCCACGGAATAAAGATAAGCTCCAAAACATTGTAATTTATTAACTAGGAAGCATACTGCCACTATGATTACTGCAAATTCAGGAGGTAGTTTTTACAATCTAGCCAATTTTCCCCTTCATTTCCATTCAATGTTACCAGTGGTCAAGAGTGAGAGGAATGGAGGGGAGGAAGAAGACAAGGGTAAGAAACTGAGAAAGAGTCAAATTATTCTCCTTGGTGAGTCAGTAGCTTAATTATTATGGTAAACTTTCACTGTATCTGGATTTAAAACACTTAGAAGAGGAACCAACAATAAGTAGGTCATGCTGTGTGTATGTGCTTTTTTTTCCTCAGTTGTTGCAAAGGGATGGTGACAGCCATGGCTCTGAGTATCACAGGTCAGTTACAAAAAAATCCTAAGGAACTTCATGAGCTGGATAAGATGAAGGTAATGACTCTGTCTTCCCCTTAGTTTGTTTTGTTTAGTTTAGTTTATTTGTTTTTAGCAGACTTTTTAGATTTGATTTACAACAAACTGCACATATTTAAAGTGTACAATTTGATAATTTGCAAAATATGCATACACCTGTAAAATGATCGCTACAATAAAAAAAGGAACATATCCAACACTCCAAGTTTCCTTGTACCCCTTTGTAATCTCTCCTTCCAGCCTCATCCTGTCCCCAGGCAATGTCTGATCCATTTTCTAAAAGCAAAGATTATTTTTCATTTTTAAGAATTTATATACAGAATATACACTTTTTTGTCTGACTTCTCTCACTAAGCATAATTATTTTAAGATTCACATATATTGTTGCTTTTATCAAAAGTTTATGCTTTTTAGTGTTCAGTAGTATTTCATTGTATGGGACACACACTATTTATTCATTTTCTGTTAATGGGCGTTTGAATTTCTTCTAGTTTTCAATTATTACAAATAAAGCTTCCATGCATATTCATGTACATATGCATTGCTTTCATTTCTCTTAAGTAAATATCTAGGAATGGACTGGTTGAGTAATATGGTATGTGTGTGTTTAACTTTTTAAGAAACGGTCAAACTGTCTTCCAAAGTGGTTAAACCATTTACACTCCTGCCAGCAGTGTGTGAGAGTCCCGGTTGCTTCACATCCTCACCAACACTTGATATGGTCAATCTTTTCAATTTTAGACATTCTGATAGGTGGGTAGTGGTATACCATTGTGGTTTTAATTTGCATTTCCTTAATGACCAATGAGGTTGAACATCTTTTCATGTGCTTATTTGTCATCCATGTATCTCCTTTGGTGAAATTTGTATTTGAAAGTTTCTGAGAGAGTAGATCTTAAAAGTTCTCATCACAAGAAAAAAACATTGTAACTATGTGAGGTGATGGATGTTAACTAAATTTATTGTGGTAATCATTTTGCAATATATACATATATCAAATCATTATGTCATACACCTTAAACTTATACAATGTTATATGTCAATTATATCTCAATAAAACTGGAAAAAAAGGCAAAAAACATTTTTCAATTGTCTTGTAATTTGGTTAGTGGATAATTGAGATGTTTAAACAGTTATGAGGGAAATAAAATTAATACTATTTATGAAAAAAAGGTGAAATATCTGTTCAAATCTTTGACCCATTTATTATTGATTTGTTTGTTTTCTTATTATTGAGTTTGAGAGTTCTTTATTCTGGCTATAAGTCCTTAATCAGATATGTGATTTGCAAATATTTTCTCTCAGTCTGTGGCTTGTCTTTTCTTCTCTTAACAATATCTTTCAAAGAGAGAAAGTTCTTAATTTTGATGAAGTTCGATCTATCACTCTTTTTTTTCTTTTATGAATCTTGCTTTTGGTGTTATATCTAAGAAAAATTTTGTATAATAACATCACGAAGATTTTCTCCCCAAAATTTTATAATTTTAGGCTTTGTATTCAGGTCTGTGACCCATTTTGAGTTAATTTTTTCCGTATATTGTGCCAGGTATGGATTGAAGTTCATTTCTTGCCCTTTGGATATCCAGTTTTTTTTGTGTGTGTGTGAGGAGGACCAGCCCTGAGCTAACATCCAATGCCAATCCTCCTCTTTTTTGCTGAGGAAGACTGACCTTGGGCTAACATCCATGCCCACCTTCCTCTATTTTATATGGGACGCCGCCACAGCATGGCTTAACAAGCGGTGTGTCGGTGTGCACCCGGGATCCGAACCGGCGAACCCCGGGCCGCTGCAGCCGAGCGCACGCACTTAACTGCTTGCGCCATCTGGATATCCAGTATTTTTATCACCATTTGTTGAAGAGGCTATCCTTTTTCTACTAAGATGCCTTTGCATCTTTGTTGCAATTCCATTGACCATATATGTGTGGGTGTTATTCTGGACATTCTGTTGTGTTCTGTTGATCTATTTGTCAACATTGTCATCATTATCAAACTGTCTTGATTCCTGTAGTTTTATAAGTTTTCAACTCAGGTAGTGTAAATCCTCCAAATTTGTTCTTCTTTTTCAAGATTGGTCAGGCTATTCTAGGTCCTTTGCTTTCCATATGTGAAATTTTTAGAATTAGCTTATCAGTTTCTCCAAAAAAGCCTGCTGGGATTTTGATTATGATTACATTTTATCTATTGATTAATTTGTGAAGAATTGACATCTTAAGAGTATTGAATCTTTGGATCTGTGAACATAGTATATGTCTTTATTTAAGTTCTTTATTTCATTTGACAAAATTTTACACATCTTTTGTCAGATTTTTCCCTAAGGATTTCATATTTTGCACTATTATAAATGATATTCTTTTCTTATTTCAATTTATGATTATTCATTGCTAATATATATAATTATAATAAATTTTTAAAATGTATTGATCTTATATCCTGTGACCTTGCTGAACTCACTTATTCCTCTAAGAGGTTTTTTTTTTTCCTTCAGATTCCTTAGAATTTTCTCTGTACACAATCACGTCATCTGCAGATAGAGACACTTTTATTTCTTCCTTTCCAATCTATATACCTTTTATTTCTTTCTCTTGCCTTATTGCAATAACTAGACTCTCTAGTACCAGGTTGAATAAAAGTGGTGAGAACAGACATCCTTGCCTTGTTCCATCTTAGGGGAAAAGTATTTATTCTATCATCTTTAAGTATAATGCTAGCTGTAGATTTTCCATAGATACCCTATATCAGATTGAGGAAGTTCCTTTTTATTCTATGTTCGCTGAAAAAAAAATTGTAGGTCAGGAATGAATGTTGGATTTTATCAAATCCTTTTTTTGCATCTACTGAGATGGTCATGAGTTTTCTTTTTTCAATATGGTGAATTACATTAATTAATTTTTGAATTGAATGTTAAACTAACCTTGTATTCCTGGGATAAACCCCACTTGATCATGATGTATTATCTCTTTTACATATTGCTAAATTCAACTGGTTAAATTTTTGTTTAGAGTTTTTGCATTGATGTTCATGAGGGATATTGATTATGTAGTTTTGTTTTGTTTTGTCTTTGGTTTTGATATCAGGGTAATGCTGGCCTCTTAGAATGAGTTGGGAAGTGTTTCTTACTCTTCTATTTTCTGGAACAATTTGTGTAGAATTGTATATTATTTCTTCCTTAAATGTTTGGTAGAATTCACCAGTGAAGCCATCTGGGCTTTGTCGGAAAGTTTTAAATTACAAATATAGAGCTACTCAGATATGGGGCTATTCAATTTCTTTAATGAATTTAAGGAAATTTCTTTACTAGATAAAGGGCTATTATCCTTTCTTCTTGAGTGAGCTCAATAGCTTTGGTCTTGTAAGGAATTTGTGATTTTATCCAAGTTGTCTAATTTATTGACATGGAGTTGCTCATAATAGTCCCCTATTATCCTTTTAATAATTATAGGATGTCCACTCTCTCATTCCTGTTATTGAAACTTTGTATCTTTTCTCTTTTTGTCTTCATCAGTATACAAAAAGATTTATCAATTTTCTTGATCTCAGAAAACCAGCTTTTGGTTTCACTGATTTTCTCTATTTTTCTGTTTTCTATTTCCTAAATTTTCACACTGGTCTTTATTATTTCTTTTTTTTCTACTTACTTTGGGTTTAATTTTCTCTTCTTTTTCTAGTTTCATAAGATATGGCTGAGATCGTGATTTGAGACCTATCTATAAACAGTAGAATGGATAAATATATTATGGTATATAAGGACTGGTATAAAGGGTGCAGGCAATTTTCTCTTCTTTGGCCTGTGTGATGTTTAAATGACTATTCTCATTAAACTCTACATATATTTTATCCTTTTCTGTATGTGTGATAGATCTCACAGTTTTTAAAAAGTGGGTTATAAAAAATTTTATGTGCAACATCTTATAATAAATTTTAAAATCTCAAGGAGATGGAGACTTTTCTAGGAAAATAAAGTAAGTAACATTAACTTTAGAAGGATAAAACTGGCCAATTTTCAGGGAAGAAACAGATGCATTTATTAAAAAAACTTAAAAATTTTTCCCTGGGCTCCACAGACAAATGTTTTCAGACTTGCAAGGAGCAGGTAATCCCCATGCTATATAGACAATTTAAAAGCATAAGATAATGACTGAAAGTTTTCCCAGTTTATTTCATATGGCTGACTAAGTTCTAAAAAAAATCCCATAAATATAAGGGAAATAAACCTCATAAATATAGATGCTGAGTCCAAATTTAAAAATAGCAAATTTCATTCAGTAGAAAATTAAAATAATAAAACACTATGAATAATTAGGATACATGTCAAGAGAGTAGGAATATTTTACTATTTGAAAATATGTTATTATAGGTATATTTAACTTCTCATCTAACAGCTGGAATGTCTCAGTTTTAGTTTTGATTCTGGGAAGGCCTACAGGTGTTCTTCACAGCAGACTGATGTGACTCTGAACTGAACAGTCTCCTGCAGCTTCTAGCTCTCACTGTGCATCTAGAAATGTGCTCGCGTCTTCTCAGGCCTGCTGCAACCAGCCCCTGCTGCTACCCACCCCCAGATGTGGTAGAGATGCTGGTTTTGGCAGGCTGGATCTGCCGTAGATGGTGGTGGGGCCTAACTGGCCTGTTCCACTATACCCCTTAGTCCTCATTTACTACTTCAATGGGGGTAGAGCTCTGTGTGGTGAGACCATGTTTCCAGGTAAAGGCAATTTTAGAGTGAGGATTTCAGGATGCTTTGAGGTGTACCTCCCCATTACAGTTAAGGCTACAGCAATATGGAGAGACATTATTGTGAGGGGCTCTTCCTGAGGGGACCTTAGGGAACTATATAAAACAATCCTTACTAGGAGATTTTTATAAGAGCTTTGTGCAATGGACCATTCATTGCCTGTTCCTCCCGAGCCCTGACTGGAGGCCCCTGATCTGACTATCTCTTTGAGAACCTATGCTTTCCACCAGGCTAGTGAGGTCTTCTGTTAAACTCTTTCCCACTTCCTAACCCTTTGCTAGTGATTTCAGATTAATAAACCAGGGAAGTGTTATCAGAGGAGGCTGAGAATCTGCTCTCGTGCCAGAAGTAAGACTGTAACCGATCTCATTCTTGGGCCTTTTTTCTACCAAATGTATGTGCCGCCTCTCTAAGCCTGAGGCTGAGGCCTTTCAAGGGTGCATCAAACTAGTTTATGGCTCAACAGGGCCCCCCGCCCCCTCTCCTTCCACTGTCTTGAAAGTACCTCAGTTCTCTTTATAAAGAAAACAAATGGTTAGTTCCCCTTTCATTAGTGTTGTCTTAATTTCAAATTCATCCCCATCCTTGACTGCTACCATCGTCCCCTGATCTCCTAGACAACATCTTTATGACATCAGACTCTGGGACTCCTATGGCCTCATCCATATCCAACAAGGTGACGAATGGAAGAGGGTCCTCTAGAGAAGCCTTGTCTGATGTGGGTATAATGTGATGCTGTGTGGCTTGTGCCACACTCCAGCCACATTCTAGCGCTTGAAGAACATCTTGCCAACCTACTGGACTGATACTTGGATGACATTAGTGATAGTTTCTCACAATATAATATTTCTTGGGCTCCTGGGGCTCCAATGAATTAGAGTTGCATCATGCTGGACAGGATTCTGGAGTGGGATGCCTTTTAAGTAAGCATCTTTTGGAGTTTGATCATTCTTACTGATGGTTCTTACTCCACTCTTCCACTGTAACCACCTAGATAAATTACTTCTTCAAGAAGTTTTGGGAATTATCTAGTTCCCCAAGACCATTGAGGTAGTCTGGTGGCTAATGACCCTGTTTACCTCCCACGTGATCCTGGCATATCTTGACCCAGTTTGACCTCACACAGCTGAGCTACAGTTAAGCTGGAGGCCATTTTCTGAGAGGATTCAGTTCTAGGGACCCTTGCCCCTATGCCTATTTCTAAAAGAAGTTGGTGTCAGTGCATAGCAACTGCTCCACTTGGGAATAAGAATTGCTTGTCATTAAGGCTTCATTTGAGGCTTGGAAACCCTATGTCAAAGAGCCCTGGCATCCAATGAGAGTATACTGGGACCACTACAGCCTAGACTAGCTGCTGAAAACCTAGAAACTTAGCCCCTAATAAGCTAGATAGATGTCTTTTTTTCCAAGTGCTTTAGGTTGACCATCTATAATTTTCCAGGCATCTAGAATTAGAGTCACTGATGCCCTGGAGTTTAATCATAATCTGAGCAAATGGCAGATGACCTGGAAGGATCTCTGAGATAACCTTCAGCAGGCCAAGACTGGTAAAAGACACACGTTGACCAACACCTGATAGTGCTGAGAACATATGGGAGGGAAATATCTCAAAGAAATACCCACCCAAAGAAATACCCACTATGATGGAAATGAGAAGACTTCTAGCTGGGGCCCTTCAAACTGACTTCTGGCTGCAGTTGACTCCCTCCATGCCATTCTTTCCCATTTCTGCCCTGTGTAATTTATTAAGACCCTGCCATCCACCATGGGTTGCAGTAACCTCCTGTCATCCACTTACTATTACAAGTTTCAGGATTTGGCCCTCCAAAAGGAGTATGACTTTGAAGAGCCATGCTAGGGACCTGCCTTTTGTGATGTTCCAGCAGGCAAACTCAGAGAAGTCCCAGCTTTCCCACCTTTTTGTGGAGACCAGGGGATGATGGATTCTTAATAACTCCATTACCACCATAGTCTTACCACTGACATCCTATAAAAGACTATCTCCTGTAGCCTTCTCTTTCTCCTGCTTTTGATCCACTACAATAGGCTTAACATTTAGGACCATCTCCTGTTTCTTAAATCCTCCATCACCCAGACATGAATTTTTAGCCCTTTTACTTCACACCAGAAATATTTATGAACACAGCCCTGATTCAGACTTTATTAGAATTAAGTAACAGTATAGATGGAAAGAGATCCACATGTATTGGTTAGGAACCAAGCTATCCAGGTCTAGAGCTGGTCAAATGTGATCTTGAAGGTTTTGAAGGAAAGCTTGCTTAACTCTGTAGATTACTGTGAAACTTTCATCAAAAAACTCCCACTGATTTTTTTCCCCATCAGAAGTCTTATGATAGTATTTTCAATGTTTTAGAAGTTTATAAGAAAGTGACTAGGATCTATTTCACAGTGTGCAAATTCAACTAGGTAATAGTTTAATTATTTATCATGAATAATGAATTAACTCTGAAGAAATAAAATTTCAGAAATATCATACAGGGCCGGCCCTGTAGCGTAGCGGTTAAGTGTGCGCGCTCCACTGCTGGCGGCCCGGGTTCAGATCCCAGGCGTGCACCGATGCAGTGCTTGTTAGGCCATGCTGTGGTGGCGTCCCATGTAAAGTGGAGGAAGATGGGCACGGATGTTAGCCCAGGGCCAGTCTTCCTCAGCAAAAAGAGGAGGACTGGCATGGATGTTAGCTCAGGGCTGATCTTCCTCTCACACACACAAAAAAATCGTACTATTTTCAAAATTAACTAATGCTTTGTTCTAAGTACAATAAAGAAAGTTAAATAATATAGGCATCAAATTTTGTAGCTGGAAGGATCCTTAGGGGCAGTGGTGTGATGGAAACTCACAATGGTTCACAAGAGATGATGGCACACCCCTTCCCAACTTCACATTCAGTGATAATATACTGAATTGATGAATACCATTGAAATTGCCATGGTGGGAATATTTATACATGGAAATCAGCAAATGCTACACTTAGGGCTCCCCGCAACTCGAGATGGTTTTTAATAGTTCCTCATTACATAGCGGTCACCTAGAGTAAACCAACAACCTCATTTGTTTTTAATAGATGAAGACTATTGAGAGTTTATTCAAGAAGTCACAACTAATTAAGTGAACTTAGGACTAGAACCCAATACTTTCATATCCTTTGTTTGATCCTCTTTTTGATATGCAATAAGACATCATCCCAACCCTTTGAATCCAGAATTTAAACTTATTGTTGAAATTAACAAAGCTGTGGTAAACTTACTTTACCTCTACTGGCTTTAGTTTCCTTATCTGTAACATAAGGGTTTAGATTTGATTTCTAAAACTTTTTGTCTCTGACATTTCATAACAATTCTGCAATTAAAAATAAGTCTAATAATGAGAAAAATATACAACATCTTACTGCTCTTCCTGGTTGATTTCAAGGACCACTAGTAGGTCATTATTTCACCACACAGTACAGTTTTTTGATGGTTAAGGTGACCAGATCTCCTTCCCCAGAGAAGATAGTGTTTCCTAGTTCCCTCTGCTTTTACTCACTAATTAGGAATAGCGTATCTTTTAAACATTGAAGCCAGATCTTAGCTGTTAGGACATCTTGGTATAAAGTAAATGTAGTTTTACTATTCACTCTAGGTAGATGAGACTTGCTGTAGACCTTTCCTGTATCTCAATAGATAAGCTGTGAGCACCTTTTCCAAAGAGTACTTCAAATCTTTATTCATTCACTTTATTGGGGGGAGGCGGAGTAATATTTTTGTAGCGGTTTAGAGCCCAGGCCACCTGGATTAGAATCCAAGCACTGTGCTTAACTATGTATATCACCTTGAGTAAGATATTTGACCACTCTTTTCCTCAATTTCCTCATCTAAAAAAATGAGGATAATAATAGAATATATCTCATTTCTCATCATAAGAAAAAAATTTGTAAATATGTATGGTGACGGATGTTAACTGGACTTATTGTGGTGATCATTTTGCAATATGGACAAATATTGAATCATGCTTTGTACACCTGAAACTAGTATAATGTTATTTCTATTATACCTCAATAAAAAAAAATAGTACATGTCTCATATTGAGGATCAAATCAGTTAATATATGCACAATGCTTATAACAAAAGTCTGGCATATATTTAAATGCCATGTGTTTGCTATTTTTATTGTTATTGTTATACAATCACAGTTGACTTGGTCAGTTGCGTAACATTTGTTGGGACAGACCATTTGCCCATAATAATTTCAACAATCTTTCTGCATCTGGTTTTATGGCACTTCACTACTCCTTGTCCCATTACAACCCAGATTCCAAACCCTGTGGATAAGAGATGATATCCAGGTCTGTATTCATTGAAAATCACTTCTGCACAAATCTTTGAACTGAAGTGACACAAAGTTAATTGAATGGAGTTCTATTTAGAGGAATTGTACTTAGCATCTCCTCAATAGGAGTGAGTGAATATATTAGTTAGTCCAATCTGATTTTTTCTGCTTAGTAATTATCTTTGATCTCTTCTCAGAGAGAATGTTATGAGTGGATCACCACATGCTCTCACCTTCTTTCTGGAATCAAAGGCAGAGAAATAAATTTATTGACACCTGAAGAAAAAGAGCATCTACTTGGAGAAGAGGTATTTACCATGTGTTAGTACTGGTAATTATTCAGGTTATTCCTGTATTTCAATGGATAAGGGTTCAGTGACTTTTTCCAATCAATGTTCTGAATCCTCATTCCTTTACTCTGTCAGAAGAGAATTTTGGCTCTGACCAACAGCACTGGCAGCTCTTCTCCCTTCTAAGCGAGAGAATCTTCCACCCAAACATGTCTCCCCACTTTCATAGCGGATGATTTTGTCTCCTACTTCATAAAGGAAAGGATGGCTTTCAGGGGGGAGCTGCCTGCCACTTCCTGAGGCATATGCTCAGATTTACCTGCTTCAGCACATACCCTTCCTTCTCCCCTCCAGTTTCTGTCCAAGGTTCTTCCTTTGAGCTCTTAATCCCATGCCCATTTTTCTCTCTCTTTTGTATCTTTAACATCCTCCTCTCTAATGGTTCCATTTTATCAATATATAAACGTGGTCATTTCTCCCATCCTAAAAAACACGTGCCTTGTTCTTGTCTCCTTCTCTACTACTTCTTTCTCTTTCCTATACAATCACTGTTCTTAAGACTCTGAAATTACTGTAAGGTCACTAATGATTCCTTATTGTCAGATCCAAGGAACTCCAATCCCATATTTAACCTGACTTCTCTGTAGCATTTGACCCTGTTAATCGTTCATTCCATTAGTAATCTCTCTTCATAAAACAAAAATTCCATGTTTTTTTGCCTACTTCTTATTTCTTTTAACTCTCTTTCTTTTAGTCTTCCACCTCAACCTACCTCTTAAATGTTGCTATTTTGTCCTTAGCTTGCTCTCACTTATTCTATACCCTACACATTACTGTTAATCCTGTGGTTTTAACTACCACCTGTTTACCGAGGATCCAAATCAATGAATATCATGTACTTAATGGGAGTCACAAACATTTATTTTTACTTCCATCTCTTTGAGGGAGTTCATCTCCAGTAAGTTCTGAAGAAGCTCCCATTGCTATCAGAGCTGTAAATGATACAGGTATGATCTGATGGCATGGTAGGGGAGGAAGAAATTTTCCTCTACTCTCTGGGTTCTCCTGGCTGGTCTAAGAACTAAATTGACATAAGGCAGAATAATAGGAGGAAATCAAAGAATGTTTAATAACATGTATACATGAGAGAAACCCAGGAAAACTGAGTAACTCACCAAAATGGCCAAAGCCACCACCTTAAATACCATCTTCAGCTAAAGACAAAGGAGGATGTTCGGGGTAGTGGTTTGGGACTTCAAAGGGAAGGAAGGCAATTCACATGGAGACAGAAAAGCAAATGTTTAGTAAACAAATGTTTGCCATGCTTTGCAGAGACAATGGGACATGGAGAGGACTTTGATCAAATGGGCCTTCCTAGGTTTCTTCCTATTTACCACACCTAGTTCATATTATACTATAGTTATTTAGGGTGATAGCTCCTTCCTGAAACAGGCCTTCTATCTTAAATTCTTTTAGGCGGTTAGGGGGAAAGTCAAAGTTTCTTCCTGAGTCTTTTGTTCTTAAAAATAATCAGGCCAGGGGCCGGCCCCGTGGCTTAGCGGTTAAGTGTGTGCACTCTGCTACTGGCGTCCCGGGTTCGGATCCCGGGTGCGCACCAATGCACTGCTTGTCCAGCCATGCTGAGGCCATGTCCCACATACAGCAACTAGAAGGATATGCAACTGTGACATACAACTATCTACTGGGGCTTTGGGAAAAAAAAATAATAATAATCAGGCCAAAGAGACACATCTTAGGGTGGCAAATTCTGCTCCCCTACAGCATGTATGTCAATACTCTTGGGTCTGAGAGGGAAGTTTCTGTCTACACATTTGTGGGACTTTTATTTTCCATTTAAACACTGAAGAAATACCACCTTTCTAAATTACACACGTTTAACAAATGCTCATTTTCCTTTGCTGCCCAGATCTTGGCGAGAATTATTTTGAACTAACCACTAAATGATTTCATAAACATTATAAATCTTAAGTTACTGTATAGTTTTAGGAACTTAATAAAGTTCCACAGACATGATCTTGGCTGCACATCAGATCTAAGAAAAAATTCAAGAGCTATACAGAATCATAGAGTCTTAAGAACAGAAAGGATTTTAAAGGTGGTTGAATTCAATCAACCTTCTGACACTTAGATCTTAGTATAATACCCACGCTTGATCATTATGTCTGTGTTTGAATATCTGAGTGACAAAGTACTACTTGCAGAGATAGCCCATTCGTTTTTGGTGAGCACTGACTATTAGAACTTATTCTTTCTATTGAACTAAATGAAATGTATCTACTTGTAGCTTTTTCTACCCACTGGTTAGGACTCACTGCTCAGTCTTTTGGGTTGATATGAACAAGGTTGATTTGTCTTCCACATTATAGTATTTCCAACATTTGAAAATAGCCATTTCAACCAAGTCTATTTCTGGATTTTCTATTATTTTTTATTGATCTATTGACCTATTGCCTGTTCATGGGTCATTACCACAGTATTTTAATTATTGAGGCTTTATGATACATTCTCATATTTGATAGGGCCAGGCCTCCTCACTGATCTTTTTCAGGTGTTTCATCGCTATTCTTGCTTATTTTTTCTTCTAGCTCTAGAAAAAATATGATTTTTTAAAACTGGGATAATATTAAATTTATATATTAACTTAGAGAAGACAGACATGTTTATGATGTTAAGTTGTCCTATCCAAGAATAGGGGATATAGGATGTCTCCTTTTATGCCTTTCAATAACTTTTTATAGTTTGCTCATTTTGCACATTTCTTGTAAGGTTTATGCCTGAGTATTTTATTTAATTTTTTGCTATTTTAAATGGGATCTTCTTTTCCATTATATCCTCTAACTGGTAAATATTTGTATATAGATTGTTGATGCCTGTATTTTAATTTTATGTGCTGTGACTTTGCTAAATTATCTTACTGTTTTTAGAGTTTTTCAGTTGATTCTTTCAGGTTCTCCAGATATTTAATCAAATCATCTACCAATAGAGATAGTTTTATCTTTTTCTTTTCAATTATGATGACTCTAATTGCTTTTTCTTGTCTAATTGCATTGAATAATTCTTCCAATTCAATGTTAAATAGTAGTGAAGATAGCAAACAGCCTTTTCTTGTTTCTGCCTTTAGTAGGAATGCCTATAGTGATTTACCTTTAAGAAATATGCTGGTATTGAAGTTGATTTATTGTTTAATTTCTTTATTGTTCCTTCAGATATCTCAGGCCTTCCACCTGGGGTCACTTTCCTTCTGCCTTAACCTTTAGAATTTTCTTTAGTGAGGATCTACTGGAGGCTAACTCAATTTTTGTTTGTCTGAAAACGTCTTTATTTCACTCTTATTCTTAAAATTTTTTTGCTGGATATACAATGCTAGGATGATATTATTTTCTCTCAGCACATTGATGATACTATTTCCACTGTTTTCTGGATTTTATTGTTACCAAACTCACAATTGAGAATTCAGCTGTCAGTTCCTTTGAAGTTAATTCATCTCTTTTCTTTGGCTACTTTTAAGATCTTCTTTTTGTCTTTGGCATTTTGCACTTTCACTCTCATGCATGTAGGGTGGATTTTCTTTTCTTTTCTTTTTAAATTTTCGCTTGGGATTCTCTTGGTTTTCTGAATCTTTGGCTTGGTATCTTTCATTAGATCTGGAAAATTCTGTTATTATCTCTTCAAATATAGTCTCTACTATATTCACCCTGTTCTTTCCTTCTAGAACTCTGAATGGATATTCACTGGAATCTGCCCCCATGTCTCTTAACCTTCTTTCATATTTTCTGTCTCTTTGCCTCTCTGCATTGCATCCTAGATAATTTCTTCTGGCTTACCTTCTAGTTCACTAATTTGCTCTTCAGCTGAGTTTAATCTGCTATTAAACCTTTCTGTTGAGTTTTTAAATTTAATTATTGAAGTTCTATTTGGTTCTTTTTTAAAATCTGATCATTTTTGTAATCTTTCTCTCTTTACTCATATTTTCAATCTCTTATTTCTTTAAACAGGTTAAATATAACTTTGTTGTCTATCTGATAATTCTAATATATGATATATCTGTGTAAGGATGTTAATTACAACATTATTTATAATAGCAAAATACTAGAAACAATATAAATGTTGATCAATAGGAGATTCATTTAATAAATTATGGTGCATTCATATAATGGGATTCTGTGCAGATAAAGTAGATGTTTATGACTTGAAATAAAAATCATTCATGATATATCATTGAGAGAAGTAGATTATAGAATGTAACATATATTATATCTCATTTATATTAAAATGTTTACATGTGTATAAAGCAGTCTAGAAGAATATTCAGCAAACTGATAGAAGTTGCTACCTCTGAGAGCTGAGATTCTTAATTTCTTTGTATTGTTCAAATATTTTCAGCAATAGTGTATTATCAGAAAAAAAAAAGTATTTTCATTTTGGAAAAATATCCTAATATATTGTGAATATTTTTCTATACCATGAACATATTTCCACAATACTATTTAAAATTGCTATAAAGTATCTTTTTTGTGTGTGTGTATGAGGAAGATCAGCCCTGAGCTAACATCTGTTGCCAATCCTCCTCTTTTTGCTGAGGAAGACTGGCCCTGGGCTAACATCTATGCCCATCTTCCTCCACTTTATATGGGATGCCACACCATGGCTTGACAAGTGGTGCGTCGGTGTGCGCCCGGGATCCGAACCCCGGGCCACCGCAGCAGAGCGCGTGCACTTAACTGCTATGCCACTGGGCCAACCCCTAAAATTGCTATGAAATATCTTATTGTATGGTTTACACCATAATTTATTTATGAATTTTCCTATTGTGGGCACTGAGCTTATTTCTAGCTTTTGTTTTATAAACATTGCTACAATAAATATCTGAAGGATAGTCTTTAGTCAATATTCGTGTAGACTCCTTTGAGGTATTCAACACTATTGACTCCTTCTCTCTTCTCTTTTGGCTTTCCTGGTGGCCCTCTCACACTTCTGAGGCAACTTTTGCCCTCCTTTGCAGGCTCCTCTTTCTTCTCTAGCCCTCTATGTCACTAGCTTCCTGTCCTAAGGCCTCATCCTCTAGTCACTTCACAAGTCCTCCTTTGGTGATGTAATTTACTTTCTTGGCTTTAACTAAATGCAGGTAACTGTTAAATCTCTATCTTTAGCCCAAGTCCCTCCATCTAAACTCCAGATCCATATAGTCAACTACTTCCTGGATATTTCCACTTAGATATCTTAGTGGTACCTCAAACTCACACAGCCTAATCTGAACTCAAAAATTTTCCCAAACTTGCTTATCCAACTTTGTTCATTATCTCTGTAAATGGCATTATCATCTATGTAGTGGCCTAAACCATGTACCAGGTGTCTTTCAAGATGCTTTCCCTGACCCTCCCATATCCATCCAATCAATCAATCACTAAGAGTTATCTTCTAAATATCTCTTGAATCCTCATCCTCTTCATTCCTGCAACTGTGTGTTGTTCAGTCCCTCTTCTTTTCATTTTCTTCTCCCTCCTCTTCCTCTCTCTCCTTCCCTTCTTCCCTCCCTTCCTTCCTCCTCTTTAAATCTACTCTCCCATTGCTAGAGTGATTATTTTCAAATGCAAAACAGATCAATCAATTTATTGGAACCTCAATGCCTTCAGGATAAAATCCAGTCTCCCTGGCATGACACTCTAGCTCTTCCTCTATGATTGTGCCCCTGTCCATCTGCCCCTAAGTTTCTGTCCTACTGAACTACTTCTGTTCTTACAGCCAATCATGTGCATACAGCATCCTCTGCCTAGCATTGTACCATCTATTTTCTCTTAGTCATCCTTCAAGAAGAAGCTCAGACATTATTTCCTTCAGGATAATTTCCTGACCAACCATCTCTTTCACCCTCGTCCACTACCAGATCTAAATTAGGTGCTCCCACTGTGTGACTATATGTGTCCATAGCATTTTCTTGTCCACTAAATTGTAAGCTTCTTAAGGGCAGGGACCATTCTTATTAATCTTCGTATTCTTGTCTTTAGCACAATGCCCAATTGCAGGATTAGTGCTCATTAAATATTTTTTAATGAATAATTGCTAATATAGTACTAAAATATTTATATACCCTAAGCTATAATTATAATATTGTTTTATCTCACAGGACTTTTTAAAAGAATTCATTGAGCCTGGAACAGACAAGCCTTTTAAAGAGGATGAAGAAGAAAGTAAGGAGGATAAGAAACTTGAGAAAGAAAAGGAAGAAAAGAAAGCAGAAGAAGTAAGATTATTTAGTATTATTTTTTTCCTTTCCTTTTATATTTTTAAAGAATGTATATATAGGTACTGTTGAAAATAGAAATAGATCATCTGGAGTAAACTCCTCAACTTCCTTCTTTTCCTCACATAGATTTAACCATACTTACAGACACACTAATCTCTTTATTTTTTCTTTCCTAATCCGGCCATTTCCCATTAGCCTCATTCACACCTACACTCTTATTAACTACACGATCTACCTCTCATCCTAATGCTGTTTATTTATCCCTTCATTGCCAGATTTTTCAAATAGTGGTTTGAACTCTATGTTTCCACTTCTTCAGCTCCCATTCTGAGCTGCCTTTTTCTGCTCCTGCCAGGCTGGTCTCCAAACTTCTCTTCTTACCCTGTCTCCACCCCTGCTGGGGCATTAGTAGTAATAACAACCCTTCCTGGGGCATTTGTAATAATAATAATGAAAATACAATGATAACTACCAATGATTGAGTGCCCCATTAGTATATGCTTTGCACGTTATCTCTTATCTACACAACACAACTTCAAGGTAAATATTATTGTCCCCATTTTACAGATAAGAAAACTAATGCTCAGAAAGGTTGACTGACTTACCCAAAATCATACAGCTATAAGTGGCAGAACCAGCATTCAAACCGAGATAAGTCTGGCATAAGAGCCCTTGCCAATTCCTGGTTCGACTATTGTCTTTGTCTTTCAGAACTCATGATCACCTAACACTTTCTATACTGTCTTAATTTACTTCCCTGATGTTTCTTCTCTGCAAATAGTTTAAATGTTGGCATGACCCCAGGCTCTGACCTAGGTCCTCTAATCATTGTACATGCAGGACAAGAGAATAAAAATATTGTACAACACCCAAGCCTTTTGACCAACACTCTCTGTTTTATTTCTGGTACAGTGCTTGGTGTACAGAAGGTACAAAATAAATGGAAAGCATTATTATTTGGTACTAAATTCTACCATATCTTTTAAATATGTAATCCATCACCTCCTTCCCTCCATCTGTGGCATTAGATCAGGCCCTTTCCTCTCTATTTTACAAACTCCTACTCAGCCTTCAAATATCATTTTTCTCTGTAAAAATTTCCCTGAGTGTCTAGGCAGAATGTAGGGCCCTTTTCTGGTGCACACAGCTCTTGCAACACACCTCTGTGCTAACAGTAATCACGTATACCATAATTATTTTATTGCCTATCTCTCCTACTGTACTGTGAGTTCCTGAGGTCTGGAAGAAATCTTTGTGTTTCTCACAGTTATCTCCCCTTGTCCCCACTACTCCATCCCCACTAATTTATCACACAATGCTTGCTGTAAGTCTTCAAAAATGCTTGTTAAATGATTAAAGCAAATGGAAAATTAAAGCTTCAGACATGGCGCCAGGCAACTTGCCATGCCTGTGTGTCACACACCAGCTCACTAACAGGTCCTTGGTATTTCTGCGCCCTAGAAACCTTCAACATCTACAGAGAAGGAAAAACTCATTCGATTCATTGGAAAAGATGAAAATGTTCATTCCAAACCTCTATTTGGAACAGAGGTATTGTCTTCCTGGGTATGTATCTGAAACCCAACTAGGAAGTTCAAAACTAGAGAAAAAAGCTAGGAAATTTAACATTATGTAAAAATGGTATGGATCTAATATAACCTTTAGCTTCTCCAAGAGGCTCAGGGGCTCACTCCTAAATAATTAATTTTCCAGATTTTTTTTCTCCCAGCATCATCCCTGGAAAACTCTTGTCTTTCACCTTAACTCTACAAAACCTTCTCATTCTCTGCTTTAAACCTCATTTTAAAAGCAGCATCTCATCTCTTTCCTTGATTTAACAATATCTTGGTCAATATTTGAATTTATATTCATTCAGAAGACTCTATTGAGAATTGTGATAAGCACATACCTTCAACTGCAAGAGTTATTGGGAAATTGGAAACCTTTAGACAGTGACTATGGAAACTCGGCAAGAAAATAAATTTAAAATTCCTCCACAGAAAGTTCTGTGACCATAGTAGACTTAAATAAGCTCTAGATTGGTATCTCTCTCTGTGCAAGATGCGATGACTGTAGGAGTCTATTGTGGGGCTTCATTCCATTAATTTCCTGAAATGGTATGCAACATTTTGTGTGTATGTTCATACTGTGCATCTTCTTGGGGTGGGGAGCAGAAATCCGTAGATTCCATCACATTTCCCAAACCCAAAGTTAAGAATCATTTTACTGTTAGGGATTTGATCCATCTGAGTAGACAGTTGTGTGTGTAGGGGTGGGTGGGGAGCTGTGGTGAGAGCAGTGGTGGACGGCAGCTAGATCACTAAGGCAGAGGTGCGGCCCAAAGTAGAGGCAGATCTCAGGGATGTATGTCCAGGGAGGTTATAGGAAATAGGCTTCAGCTCTGCTAGGAAGAACTGGGAGAAACTATTTAGAGAGTCAGACAGGAGCTGACAAAATTGGGGTGAGAGTGATGCATGGAGGAATGCAATCACATTCTCCCAAAGTGCTGCCTTTTAAACAAATTTTTAAAATAATATGTTAACCACCAGTAGTCTAGTTTTTATCTGTCACTATACATATGTGCCCCTTTATTCCTTTCACCCTCCCCCAACCCCCTTCCTCTCTGGTAACCATTAATCTGTTCTCTTTATCCATGTGTTAGTTTACCTTCCACATATGAGTGAAATCATACAGTGTTTGTCTTTCTCTGTCTGGCTTACTTCACTTAGAATAATACAGCAAATGTTCAACAAAGAAGCCAAGAATATACAGTGGAGAAAGGAATATCTCTTCAATAAATGGTGTTGGGAAGGTCCATCCATTGTTGCAAATGGCATGATTTTGTCTTTTTTATGGCTGAGTAGTATTCCATTGTGTATATATACCACATCTTCTTTATCCATTCATCCATTGATGGGCACTTGGGTTGCTTCCAAGTCTTGGCTATTGTGAATAATGCTGCGATGAACATAGAGATGCATAAATCTCTTTGAATTGTTGAGTTAATGTTCTTTGGATAAATACCCAGTAGTGGGATAGTTGGATCATATGGTATTTCTATTTTTAGTTTTTTGAGAAATCTTCATACTGTTTTCCATGGTAGCTGCAACAGTTTGCATTCCCATCAGCAGTGTATGAGGGTTCCCTTTTCTCTACTTCCTCTCCAATGCTTGTTATTTCTTGTCTTGTTAATTATAGCCATTCTGATGTGTGTAAGGTGATGTCTCATTGTAGTTTTGATTTTCATTTCCCTAATAATTAGTGATGTTGAACATCTTTTCATGTGTCTGTTGGCCATCTGTATATCTTCTTTGGAAAAATATCTGTTTACATCTTCTCCCCTTTTTTTGATTGGGTCGTTTGTTTTTTTGTTGTTGAGTTGTATGAGTTCTTTATATATTTTGGAAATTAACCGCTTGTTGGACATATGCTTTGCAAATATTTTCTCCCAGTTAGTGGGCTGTCTTTATGTTTTATTGATGGTTTCCTTTGCCTTGCAGAAGCTTTTTAGTCTGATGGAGTCCCATTTGTTTATTTTTTCTTTTGTTTCCCTTTCCTGAGTAGGCATGAGATTCAAAAAGATACTGCTAAGACTGATGTCAAAGAGTACTGCCTATATTTTCTTCTAGAAGTTTTATGGTTTCAGGTCTTACATTCAAGTCTTTAATCCATTTTGAGTTAATTTTTGTGTATGGTATAAGATAATGGTCTACTTTCATTCTTTTGCATGTGGCTGTTCAGTTTTCCCAACACCATTTATTAAAGAGATATTCCTTTCTCCATTGTATATTCTTGGCTTCTTTGTTGAACATTGGCTGTCTGTAGATGTGTTGTTTTATTTCTGGGCTTTCAATTCTGTTTCATTGATCTGTGTGTCTGTTTTTGTGCCAGTACCATGCTGTTTTGATTACTATAGCTTTGTAGTATATTTTGAAGTCAGGGAGTGTGATACTTCCAGCTTTATTCTTTATTCTCAGGATTGCTTTGGCTATTTGGGGTCTTTACAGAAACTGAAATATACTGATGGACACCTGAAATTTACACAGTGTTATAAGCCAATATGATCTCAATAAAATGATTAAATAAAAAAATAATATGTTACTATGTCAGTGGTTAAGACAATGAGGCAAAGATGTAAAAGGAATCAGTGTGAACACAATGTCCTTAGACATGTAGAAAAAAGAGAGATAAAGGGTAGCACTACCCACACATCTATGGACAGCTAATCTTTGACAAAGGAGCCAAGAACATACAATGGAGAAAAGAAAGTCTCTTCAACAAATGGTGTTGGGAAAACTGGATAGCCACATGCAAAAAAATGAAAGTAGACCCTTACCTTACACCATACACAAAAATTAACTCAAAATGGATTAAAGACTTGAATGTAAGACCTGAAACTATGAAACTTCTAGAAGAAAACATAGGCAGTACGCTCTTCGACATCAGTCTTAGCAACATCTTTTCAAGCACCATGTCTGACTGGGCAAGAGAAACAACAGAAAAAATAAACAAATGGGACTACATCAAACTAAAAAGCTTCTGCACAGCAAAGGAAACCATCAACAAAACGAAAAGACAACCTAACAATTGGGAGAAGATATTTGCAAACGATACATCTGATAAGGCTTAATCTCCAAAATATATAAAGAACTCATGCATCTCAACAACAAAAAAACTAACAACCCAATTAAAAAATGGGCAAAAGACCTGAACAGATATTTCTCCAAAGAAGATATACAGATGGCCAACAGACACATGAAAAGATGTTCAAAATCATTAACTATCAGGGAAATGCAAATCAAAACTACAAAACCTCTCCGTCAGAATGGCTATAATTAACAAGACAGGAAACAACATGTGTTGGAGAGGATGTGGAGAGAAGGGAACTCTCATACACTGCTGGTGGGAGTGCAAACTGGTGTAGCCACTATGGAAAACAGTATGGAGACTCCTCAAAAAATCAAGGATAGAACTACCATATGATCCAGCTATTCCACTGTTGGGTATTTATCCAAAGAACTTGAAAACACCAATGCGTAAAGATACATGCACCCCTGTGTTCATTGCAGCGTTATTCACAATAGCCAAGACTTGGAAGCAACCTAAGTGCCCATCAAGGGACGAATGGATAAAGAAGATGTGGTATATATACACAATAGAATACTACTCAGCCATAAGAAACCATGAAATCCAGCCATTTGTGACAACATGGATGGACATTGAGGGTATTATGCAAAGTGAAATAAGTCAGAGGGAGAAGGTCAAATACCGTATGATTTCCTTCATTGAGTAGTAGATAATAACAATAATAAACAAACACATAGAGACAGAGATTGGATTGGTGGTTACCAGAGGGGAAGCGGGGAGGGAGGAGGGTGAAAGGGATGGTTTGGCTCATGTGTGTGGTGATGGGTTGTGGTTGGTGTTTGGGTGCTGGGCGCAGTGTAGTCTGTGCGGAGATAGAAGTGTGGTGATGTACACCTGAAATTTATACAATGTTATAAACCAATGTTACTGCAATAAACAAAAAATTTAAAAAAAAAAAAAAAGGGTAGCACTGTTTTATCTGCTACCCCTTACTGGTCCCTCCCAAAACCCTCCTGACTCAAATTTGCTCACCCAGCTCTGCCATTCAGATTATGCTGCAGGGTCAGGCCCTGCAGCTAAGCAGAAAGCAGACAGGAAAACAGGGGCCTGTAGCCTGGGGCAAAACTGAGGGTGTGGTACGTGTCTTTGATGGTGTGGGGCTCCTGCTCTGGGAAGCTGCCATTCCTTCTGATACAGTGTGGTGCCATGCTAGCCCACCGGAGGATGATGTGGCCCAGAAAGTCCATCTCCAGGCCTTGAAAAGTTGCTGCTGCTGCTGCTACTATAGATCTCTAAAGACAAAACTGTCTAGGTTCTCACTGATCGTAAGGTCTGGGGAATGGAGCAAAATGCCTTCCAGGTGTACAGTTACTTGCAAGTTCCTGGAGGTAAAGAAGAATCATATTCATCCTATGGAGTGGTGGCTGGAGCACTGCACTGGTAGAAAGGGATCCCCAGGTGCTCAAACAGAAAGGGCCTAATTGTGCTAGGCCAGTGAAGAGAAGGTTGATATTTGGGGATGTTGGTACCCAGAGAATGAACATTCTTTGAACCAGATTGTGAGGTCAGAGATTTGGGGCAGGAGGTGGAGCTGGGGCAAGTGCTTTCCTGATTCGGACTATACTGCAGGCTTAGGGGAGCAGGCTCTGTGCTCCTTCCTTTCACAGAGATACTGGGGCTCCCTGAGGGTGGTTTGAGGTTTTAAAACTTTTACCATAAGTTTTTCTTTTGCTTTTGTTTGCTTGTTTATTTTTCCTTTATTCTTTTTGACAGACACTCAGCCTCTTGTCCTAAGAACAAAAACAACCATTTAGCAGGAATATAGCTCCAAGGCACCAGACCTACTGGGCAGGTGCACTTTCTTCCTGATCTAAAAACACAACTCCCAGGAGGTAGCACATTTGATTGACACTGGAGAAGGAAAGAAAAAAGCAAGGAAGGAAGGAAGGAAGGAGGGCAGAAAGGAAGGAAGGAAGAAA